AATTAAAATTCATAAAATAAATAATATTCAAATTGATGAGAATTGAAGGGGATTAAAGGTGTGTTTGGAGCACTCTATACAGAAGTTCATGCTTTCCAACGCAGCAAAATGAAGAAGGAAATTAAAAGCCGATGGATTTAGTTATGTATAGCAATTAAAAGTTCAAAATTGATTTTTGAATGAAATAAAAGTAATTCCTCATTGCTTCAACACAATCGTAATTTCTCGACCCCACCATAATTGTATTAATTAACTAAATATCATATAAATCAACAACTCACCATTGTTTAAATAAAAAAAAAACCACTTAAATGCTTGACGTATCATATAAGATATTCGGTCTCTGTCTTGTTTTCGTCAATTTATTGTCATGTTATGTCTGTTTTCATGCTATAATTCTAATCCCCGAGTTTATTTATATTCTCCATCTTCAATGGTTTATACTTGTTTACTTAAAGGATAAAGACTTGTCATATGTTTAGTAACGAAGAAGAAGAGAGAACATTTGAGAAATCTGTGGAAGTTATTATTGAATATTGATCCATGGTTTAAGAACGCGGAAGATATAATGATTTGCAAAGAAATAAGTTTACAAACATAATCGATTATGTTGCACTTTTTATATGTAAAATAATATTTAAAAATAATAATATAATAATATAATAATAAAATAAAATGAAATAATAATAATAATAATTTTATTTATAATTTTATATTAAATCATTTTTAACTTTTTTTTTTCTTTCACTTCTCTTATATTTTTCTCTTATCAAACAATTTTAATTTTTATTCTCTTCCTTCTTACCTTTGTTTTTCTCTTCTCTCTATTTTTTTTTCTCTCTCTACTAAACAAAACATTAATTTGGATGTGCAATGCTATAAAGAAATGTAACATTTGTTCATGATTACCGTGTATGATCAAAGTTTTGCCTTGTTTGAATAAAATACTAAAATCTCCGTACGCACATACGTTAGTATTATTTAATTAAAAAATTCTAAACATATATAACTATAATACTAATATATAATAGAAATAATGATATAGGAAGTTGATGCAAGATAAGTAATAAATAATTAAAATTCATAAAATGAAAAGGATATTAAAACATTGATGAAAGAGGAAAATTAAAGAATAAAGAAATATTTGAAAACGTTAAGATATCATAAAATTAAAATATTTTTTATTCTTTATAATTTTATTTATTTTACCTTTTACTTCTTATAGTTTAAAATATATTTTTTAGTTCTTAAATTTATTTTTTTTTCAGTACTTTATGTCTCATTTATGTAATTAGCAGTCCACCCATTTTTTTTTTATCTTCACAAAATCAAAAACCTCTAATATGTCAATATAAAACAAATAATGTTATAAAAAAAATTAATAATAGAGACTAAAACGATTAAAAAATTCAAAGTATAGAAATTAAAAAGATTTACATTAAACTATAGCAATTAAATTTTTTTATTGTAAATTATAAGAATTAAAAGGTAAAGTAAGTAAAATTAAAGATATTAAAAAAATATTTTAACCTCACATAAAAAATTGAGAAATTGAACTATACTGTGATCTTTGGACCATCACATATTCACGTATATTGGTGATAATATATATATATATATATATATAAAAGGAGATAATTACTTATATTAAGAATAAATTTACTTAAACTTCATTTACTCACTAACTTATGTTTAACATCAATTTTAACGATTCAATTGTTAAATTAAAATTTCTTAATGCATATATTAAATTTATAAATTTTTAAAATTTAAAAATTAAAAATTATTAAATATTTTGTTTGTAACGTAGTGAGTTGGTTCAGGGTTTAGTGGAGGCTAGAGAGAAGAGTATATAAGGTTTTCTCTGAGACGAGAGTCTCATAAGCTCATATACTCAAAGAAAACCTAGAGAAAGGTTTTAGAGAGAAGGACTCTAGGTTTGTGAGTTCATTTCTCTCCCAAACTTCTCTGTTGGATTCTTTTTCTTCTCTAGATCACTAATTCCTTCTAACTTTTCTTGAAATTCAGGCGAAGAAGCTTGTTATGGAGAATTGAAGTCCGTGGGTTGAGCTCCAGGAGAAATCTTCTTCTTTTTCCTATTCTTGGCCTTTTGAGTCAATTTTCAGGTGAGGGAAGCTAGATTATACATTGATTGGTTGCATGTGAGTTTAGGAACTCAAATTGATGTATGAATTCTAAGAATTCATGGTTGGATTGAAGAACTTATCATTTTTCGGGGTTTTGGGAAAAATGGAGTTTTTTTTTATTTATGATTTTGATGCGTTTGATGGTTGCATGTTGAATCTAAGCTTGTTTTTGAGTTGTATAAAACGTATACACTTCATTTTATGGATTGCATGTGGTTGAGTTGGTTGATTTTCAGGTTTTTGAAGAAAATTTTGAAGTTTTGGGGTTGGCTGTTTGAAGTTGCAACGAGCGCATGTTCTTGGCGCTGGGCGCACATTCATTAGAATCACCCAGTTTCAACTCACACCGAGCGCGAGGTTAGTTGCGCCGGGCGTGATTGGGAATGAGAGTCTCTAGATGAGTTCGCACCGGGCGTGGGGAGAACCACGTGGGGCGCGATATCAAATGTTGGCCTTGTGTTTTTTGTTACTGATATGGCGTCGGGCGCGATCTGAGCGTGCTGGGCGTGGAGACTCCTTGGGGTTCTTTACCTAGGGTGGCACCGGGTGCAAGGTGAGTGCGCCGGGCGCGGAGACCTCTGTAGGTCTCTATGTAGACAACGTCGGGCGCAGAATGAGCGTTCTGGGTGTGGAGACTCTTATGAGTCTTTGTTTGGATGACGCCAGGCGTGATATTTCCGCGCTGGGCGTGGGAGAGCTTTAGAGCTCTCAGGTTGGGTTTAGGCCGGGCGTGAGCTTACTTGCGCCAGACATGAATATGTTGGTTTTATGATTGAAAAATGATGAAGATCGTAGTATGATGAGTTGAAAATATATTGATAAATAGTGTTGTAGACAAGTTGCAAAGTTAAGTAGCTGTATAGAGATGATATATGAGTTGAAAAGTTATGTTTTGTCTGAGTTGTTGAGCTAAACTGAGCTGTTGTGTTGCTATTTCGAGTTGTTGTTGAGCTGAATTGTATTGTTAAGTTGTGCGTTGATTGTGCTGTGATGATGAGTTGTTGATCATTAGGACTAGAGGAGATATTTTCGATGTTGCTCATCCCATTGTGTGGATTGAGATAGTTATGGTGCTCTAAAAGCCCAATTTGTTGAAAACCCTCCTTGAGAAGTTGCCCATTGGATTGGATGATGTGTTGTTCTCCTCTAGGACTTAGTTGGTCCTGTGTGTGGGCAAGGTCGAGGCACACGTGTATGAAGCGACCGGTATAGGGTTCAGGTCGAGCTATACCGATTACAAGCGACCAATTTGAGTAAAGTACGAAGTCGGAAACTTAGTTCCTAATTGAGTATCGAAGGGTTGTAGTATTTGAAGGATAGTCAGTAGGTTAATCTCATAGGTGGCTTAGTTAAGCTAGCTAATGTCGTAGTAAGCCTAAACTCAGTTGTCCTATCCTGACAGAGTACTATACTTCCTTGTTTAAGTGGAAAAGTCTGAGAAATCGTTATCGTGTTGTGGGTTTCTATCCAAATTTGTTGTTTACCTAGCAAGCCCAAAAAGGTTCTGTGTTGTCGGTTCGATAGGACCTAGCCACTTAGACTGCTCACCCACATTGTAGGAGATCTCCGAGTTGAAATGTGTGATGACGCATAAGTTGGGATGTAGTGTTGACATGAGTTGTGTGTGTATGTATATATATATATATA